GACTGTGACTCCCGGCTGGTAATTATCTAATTATTAAAGACCACACATACACTACGCTTATATTTCTTGTGTTTAGTCGTCCCTGGTGCCAATCATGGTGACTGTTGTTTTAAATTTGAACATCCATCCTCATGGTTTCTGCAAGTTTAAGGCTCAGGACAATATGCTTCAGTGGCCCAGCAGAAGGACGTGGTGCTCATGTTAGTCTCCTGTACCATTTTCAGAGCAGGTTCAGACTGTAAAGATTCAGTGACTTTACAGAAATTATATCTTAATCATAGTCAAATACAAAAAAATACTGCCATGGGCTGTTCACATACTAAAATAGTTTTCAGGTTCAAATGTGCATTGAATCAATGGTTTGTGGTTTTCAGCATATACTGGCTCAAAAGCTCTTTTTCATTTTTTTCTTAAGCTGTGCAGCAAATGTTGAGGATTTGTTTGACCCTGTGGCCAGAGAAGAGATTAAATCCCACCAGGTCTGCCCATCTGTGTTGCACTTAGTTACATGATTTTGTTACACCAGTGCTTTCCGTTTCTTCTCAGGGCTCTCGAAAACGCCCTGTCTCAAGAGAAACAGACAGCTGAGCGCCTGGCTTTTAATCCTGTTTACAGGGCTTTTCTCTGAAAGGTCACCCAAGCTGTGTAACTCTATAGCACCCCTGCCGCTCGCTGGCCCAGCTTGGAAAAAGGGAAGCTGTGGTGCACCACCTCCATGACCAGATGTTCTCACAGTAGAGCTGGCTCTCTAAAAATTATTTTGCTGCTGTTGTTGGGCAATGGCCATTGTAGACTCATACCTGATCCCTGTTGATGTATGTTTTTGAACCCTCTTAAAGACTAAGTGAGACTCTTATATTAATATAGTAAGAAAATGGTAATCTGGTTTTGATGTAGCGTAAGCTTGGAACAATTCATATTCCTTAATCACACCTACTGTACCTGTATGTATATAAATAATATCGTTACAAATGGGGGGGTCACAAAACTGATGAAAATCAGGATTTGACCTAGCCGTTTAGTCAATAAGTGAAATAATTGTTCATAACCCCCAACTTGAAAATGATTTCTAGCAATATACCCGAGCAAAACAGCTGTGTTGAGAGGAATAATAATCCAGAAACACTTGGTTAACAAATATTTATAACAATGACAGGACACAAACTACACAACATACAACACACAAATTACTTTATGTACAGTATTTACAAAAAATACATTTCAGAGGCCTAACCTTCTGGTCACCCAGAAAACCCCAGGCTGCTACTAAGCAAGATAAGCTGCCTTCTAACTAAATACAAAGGAACCTGCAGTTAAAGCTCTCTCTCTGCACCCTGGATGCCACAAAATAAATGGGACCTATATCCCTATCCATAGAAACCCACCCTAAGCAGTAAAGATGTTTCTAACTGAGGTATCTTTTAATCAGGAAACCCAAGTTCCTTAAAAACACAGAAAAGCACATTCTCTCTAACAAGGTTCAAATACTTAGCTCCAGTCAGGTTTGATTTGGATGATGTGATCTTATATTATGTGTGTCTGTGCTGCTTCTTGACAAATCATTAATCCACAACTTACCTAGGTATACTAAGGTAAACTATACTATACAGTTGTTTCTACTCAAGGGACCACCCAGACCTCAGCAAACATCCTCTCTCCTTTTGAAGTTTGAAGTGTTTAACCTTCCAAGTGTCACAAACTTTTTCTGAAATCTAAGAGACACTTCTCAGTCACCTAAAACTGTAACAATATATAAAACATTCTAAAATGTCTTTGCTTTTTAAAGTTCTATCTATGTAGATGTCTTTCACTGAGGAGTGGTAGTGGTTCTGCATTTCTTTCTTATGACAGCGTGAGAGACTAGCTGCACTCCCACAGCTAATCTTCTGTATCTTGGCTGCTGCCTTTGAAATCTTAATCTTGTCATAACATGACATTTTAATGGTGCTCTGAGAACACTTCAGGCCCCTTGTCTGTGAATCCTTTGGCCTTCTAGCGCTGTTGGGCACTTCCTTCTTTGAATGTGTGAGATGAATTTGAGCCTCCCGGTGAAACATCTCAATGTGGAAGTGCACTTAAAACCAGGCTTTACACTAAGGGTGTAAGTGGAAGAGGTGTTAGTGGGGCCAGCAGGGGGCGCTCACCCTGTGGTCCATGTGGGTCCTAATGCCCCAGTATAGTGATGGGGACACTATACTGTAAACAGGCGCCGTCCTTCGGATGAGACGTAAAACCGAGGTCGTGACTCTCTGTGGTCATTTAAAATCCCAGGGCGTTTCTCGAAAAGAGTAGGGGTGTAACCCTGGCGTCCTGGCCAAATTTCCCATTAGCCCTTACAAATCACGGCCTCCTAATAACCCCCCTCTATGAATTGGCTACATTACTCTGCTCTCCTCCCCACTGAAAGCTGATGTGTGGTGAGCGTTCTGGCGCACTATGGCTCCCATCACATCATCCAGGTGGATGCTGCACACTGGTGGTGGTGGAGGGGAGTCCCCATTACCTGTAAAGCGCTTTGAGTGGAGTGTCCAGAAAAGCGCTATATAAGTGTAAGCAATTATTATTAATTAAGGGTGGTGGGAGTGTGGAACAAGCTGCCCAGCCTTGTTGTTAAAGCCGATAAACTGGTTTATTTCAGGAAATGACTGGATGAAGTTCTCAGATCAATTAATCATTTACAACCATAAGGGCTGGATGAACTGAATGGCTTCCTGTCGTCTGTGACTTTCTCAATGTTCCTATCATTGTTGCCATGAGAAGGCAAATACTGTGTTATACTAATAGGACAGTTCTGCACAAAAGACTTTTTAAAGTTTTAGTAGTAGCTGAATGCATTGAAATTTAATCACGCCTCTCCAACATGTCTGTTGGTATAATGCAGGTGACATTTTCACTGACCACCTGCTCTTCAGCTGCCCATCTGTGCCTCTCCAGGAGGTGCTGCCACAGCGGCACATTCTTTTAATTTTATTGGACGTATTGTTGTGGATTTGGAGTAAACTTCAACAATGATCAGTATAAAGGGCATTATTTTCAAAAGAAGATTAGGATTACGATTAGGATCAATCTAGCGGGTGAAATTATTAGGCAGGCTTTGATTCCTTTGTGGTGGATAATCCGTGTGGCCAGAGAGGCTGTCTCAGCACTGCCCAGCAGTGCTTCCTGATTCAGCTTTCTAAGGATGAGCGATTGTGCGTTGCAGATTTTGTTTAAATTGGAAAACATGTTGCATAATTTTATTGAATAAATATTGGTGTTGTTGGATTTAAACAGGGAATTGGAGCTGGTCAGAGGGGCTTAGTTGAGAGATACACTCTATTTCAGCCACAACAGGTTTCCATAATCATAATGCACTAACTACACACTGAGCCGCTGTGACCCCTGTGATAAAGGTGCACTGCACTGCCATGTCCGTCCAGCATACAGCTGACAAGTGATCATGTAGCAGACCAGCTTCCCATGGAATCCTGAAAAAGGACATTTGATTTGATGTCATAAAAACATCAAAAACATACTTCTAGATTGATTTAATCAGGCAAGGAACCTCTCTTGGTTCATCATTACCAGGGGTCATTTTGACTATGAGTCATAAGGGAGAAAGTTTCTTACTTTAGATATGCAGTAAGATGCCAGAAAGCATTCACTCCCTTCCAATGAGGTGCTATTTTGTTAAAATTTCAAATTATATAAACACATTTTATAAAATTTAATATTTTAATCACAGCTAAAATACTCAATCTAAACAACTTTTTTCTGTGAAAGCCGTTAAAGTTCAACAAAAACTGCAAAGTCATTCACTTGGTTTATCCAACAATCTCTACTTAGTTCATGCTTGTAAATCAAATCATTCAAGACAGCCTACACAAATCTGCTCTTATATGCTTAGAGAATGATTAATAAAATACAGTAGTTTCAATGATTTGTGTTTCCTGGAACCATATTTAAAACACACATACAGTATGTAGTCTCCTTTTTACAAAATGAACTAATTCATTTTAAGTCAACATGAAAAGTTAGATTCTGTAGTAGTATAATTGCTTCTACTTAATACTAACAGCGCAGGTGACATGGATGTTCTTATTCTTGTTTGAAGCAGCACGGAAAAGAGTATGTACCTTCAGCTATTAAAATACAGCTGTCCTTGCCAAAGAACCTCAGTAAGAGCCCTCTTCTTACAAGTGCAATTGTTTACACCACATTATCCTTATAGATGAGGGTGGTTTAAATACATTGGCAAAGTTGTATATCACTGTCTGCCTTAAAACTGTCTAAGCAACGTAAATACAGTACATGAGGACATTAGGAACAAGAAGAACTTATTCTCTGCTCTCTGTTGTTCAGACCTTAGTGGAAATTAGCTCTTCATCTCCAGGAAAAAGCTGAAGTTTGTTCTTCTTATGATGCACATTAACTACGGAAAGAAAACAAAAACGAGTTATTGGTAGTTAGTAGTTAATGAACCCATACAGCTTTCTTGAAAGAAACTGGGATATCGGCTTTAGTATCATGGCTGGGTAGCTTGTTCCACACTCTCAAGGCCCTTTTGTAAAGCAGTGCGCTCTCAGTTTTAAACGAACCTCCCCGTGGTTATAATATTATTAGGACTGTTATCTTTGCTGTGGCTGCTCTTAGATATGCCACTTTGAGATTGAAAATAGGTGTTGGTGTGCTAATAGCTGTGGGGCAGTGTGGGATTGTGGATAATGTTACATTAGCACGTCTGAGACTGTGTCAAGTAGCCCACGGCAGCATCATGTCACGTGGTCTCCCCAAGAATAGGTAGGAAACTGGCTGAATGTTTGAGAGCTGCCTTACAAAGTATATTTAGTGCAGATATATTGTTGTTGTGGTGGTGGTTATTTTAAAACTTAAACAACTTAGCAAGAACATACAAATCTCATTGCGTTATTTCTCTACAGCATTGCCAGACAAGACATTTCAGCCTTTGTCCTCTCATGCAAGCTCAATGCTTTGTCTTTCCTTTTCCCCATTTTCTCCAGGGAACAGCCGATCTTCACCACCAGAGCTCATGTCTTCCAGATTGACCCCACGACCAAGAAGAACTGGGTGCCTGCCAGCAAGCAGGCAGTCACCGTCTCCTACTTCTACGACAGCACACGCAACAGCTACCGGATCATCAGCGTCGATGGAACCAAGGTGAGTGTACTGCTGGAGATGGGTCTGTTAAATCTCCACTGAGATCTCAGGCAAAACAGGCAGATCTCTTCCTCAGAGAAGAAGAAATCATGACCTTGAAAAGTGTTTACCCATTTAAGAAAGGTCACAGATGAGAGGGTCTATTCAATCCATTTTATTTGTTTGTGGACTAGTATCTTATTGATCCAAAGACGTCTTCCAGCCTTTTTTGAGAGTTCCCAGGCCATCTGGTTCAACAATGTGGCTGCGTCGCTCATTCAGGCTCCCACAACACGTCGTCTGAAGTAGTTCTCTCTGAATATAAATTGATGTTTTTTTGTCAGTTTTATTATCATGGACTTGGAGCTTGAAGGCAAAGTTTTCAAGGTGTCTGTATTCCCTGTTCAGCAAAAAAGAGAGCAGTTTGTCTCTGGTCTAAAGCAGTGGAAACCATCAGTTGATCACAAGCCAGTAGGATAAAACTCCATTAACTCAGCCTGGATGTACTTTTATCTCCAAATGAAAACACTTTGCATTTGATATCAGTGTGATTCATAGCATTGACATCACTGCAGCTCTTAATATTTGATAACTTAACGAGTTGAACTTAATCTCTGTGGCTATGAATGAAAATTAAACCCTTTCTGCGGCATAAATACTTAATTGCCACTTTAACATGTTCTTTTAATAAGACTACAGATTTGGCATTAAAAGAAAAATGAAATGCCCATTTCAAAATGTTTCCTATTTTCCTGCCTGTCTTTATACTGTGTATTTACATGGCATGTTTCTATGGAAACGCTTCACTCTTGTTTGGAAATGCTGTCTGCAGTGATAGTCTTCAATAGGCCCAGCCCCTCTGTCAGCACTGCCTGGCCTTGTATTTGGGTTTATGAAAGTTTACAGTCAAATTGGAAAATATAACTTTGAATTACACAAAGAAAAGTAACTTTTTGGAATCCCCCGATTTAAAATGGAAATATTTTCTTGGTTTTATGTTAGTGAATGTGTCCTCTATTCCTGTGTTAATTCTTTATGAAATGTTGGTCTTGTTTGGTCTTGGTGTGGGGTTGCTCTCTCACATCTTCTTTTTGGATATGTGGGTACATGATAATGACTTTACTGGGACATCTAGTCTCTGCAGTAGCTTGACTATCATGTCTGGGACACCACATGGGCGAGATGTACTGTAGATACTTCAAGGTGCTGAGGGGTTTTACAGCACCCCAAAAATCCACCAACGTGACAATCACGTGTACCCCACAGGGATTGTCATTCCTCAACAGGAACCTTTCACCTCTGGGTGAAAAATGCCTGTAAATGTCTGGGCACTGTGCCATGTAAACATTCAATGTCTTATACTTTTCACATCACCATCTAAACTATAAAAAAGTAACAAAAGCAATTGTAAACTCCAACAAGACTATTCAGTTATATTAACTCTAGGACTCTTCCTTGGTTGCATCTGAAAAGCTGTGCATTTTCAAGGTGGTTAGCCATTCATTTTTCAGAATCCTTTACTCGTTTTTTATTTTTTAGTTGAAACAGAATGCCAAGGTAAGTATTTCCTCTATAATGGTTGTGGTGTCTGGCAAAATATCTTAGACGCAAAATTATCATCTTGCTTAAGTAAAAGCATCACGTCCTTTTAAAACTGAACAGGATGTAAGAGCTGGGACCTCAGAAGTCTGCGGTCTGGTTTACTGCCCTGATAGAAATGCATCATTAATAGAGACAGATCTAGAATACACAGTCAGGAGCCTAAGGTTTCTGATATAATTCTATGCAGTAACTTGATATTCAGTGTTTAAGTCACATCCAAACATCTCATTAGTTTTTGTAAAACCCCAGACTGAGTTGCACAGAGACATAGAAACTCTGTTAACCCCAGAACTCTGTCCCTCTTGAATTTGATAGATCTTTAATATGTATTTTGCCTAGAATCACTCCTGAGATCACAGGAAAGTAGTACATTTCTGTGTCTCTGATCTTTTTTTTGCATGCATGCGTATTCTAATCATCTCGTCTAAGCTATGAAAATGACTACTTTTTGTTTCTTGATTTCAGGAAAAATGAATGAGAGATATTTTAATAGGTTTTACTGAGTCACTGGTATTCCATATAATTTTTTCATTAATACTGTAATCTCTATGTAGTCAGAGCATGAAGCCTTTGTAAAAATGTCTGTCGCACAACAGACACAGGTTATAGTACCTGCCCTCTGTGAGCTCAGTGACAATTCCTATGCTGCATCTGTCAGCCTATCTCACTGAATGTGCAAAGGAATCTATCAGCAGCCACAGAATGCAGTGAGTCATTGTAAAGGAATTAATAATTTGTGCCACTATTCCTCTTGCTGCATTAATCCTTGACCATTGACATACTGTAAAAACATTTCAAAAAGCTACCGAACAATAAGAAACACAGTGTGATGAACGGCGTGTTGACGTGTGGGGAAGGCAGTGCTGAGAAATTCGGATTTATTTTAGACATAAAAGATAAATTTAAAATGTAGCCATGATGAGTGTGTTTGCTCAGAACCTGCTCACCCCCTGCAATTGTAACATTTCCTTCATTGTAGTTAATGGGGATTTTGAGACAGGTAGCACAGCTTCCATGTAGAGATGATTAGCCATCATTTCATCATCTACTAGGGGTCCCAGTGCCGCTGCAAGCTACTACCCGTTCTAAGCTTTCCTTGTGGACTTGTCGTTATTATTTTTAAAACATGCACACTGTGCTCCCCTTCTTCCTTACCACTCTTGCCTGCAGTTAGAATCAGGGGCTGGTCTTTCCCTTTAGCATGCCTCAAACAGTGAATTACTGGATAGTTAAAGCAAGCAAAAGCTCTTTGAGGGGCGCAGTCGTTCATTAATGTGCGAGAAATTGCTCAATTCTAAATCAACACGACATTTATGTATGTGGACTGTGTGAATTTTAACGAGCCTGACCAAGAATCTACATGGTAAATTAGTACTCATCTAAAAATCAATTTAACGTTCATTTGTAACTTAAACATTGCTGGATCCATTTATATGAATGTTTATTTTATTCTCTTTCACCCTCCACGGCATCATTAAGTACTTTTAGCAGTACTTTTATTGCTATGTTTTTTAATGCTGTAGTAACGCTCACCTGTTTTATGAATAGTTACATAATGTGTGTCACCAAAATCCTAAGCCCTTTACAGCACGTGTGACACATTAAATGTCCTGACTCAAGTGTTTAATGTCATGTTCAGTCCGTATTAGACCACAAATGAAAGAGGCTGTCAAAAAGGAGCTGGAACATTAAAAAAAAATCTTGGGCTGAAAAACCCCACAATATCAGGAGGCACTGAGAATCTCAGCCTCATATCCCACTAAAACGGCGACAGACCCACCTGGACAGGGACCATCCCAGCTGGCAGGCTCCGGCATTGGCAAGGTCTGACAGGAGCAGAGTGGGGGCGGGAGCTATAACTTGGCAAGTTGGACCCTGAATTAGGTATATAGCTCTGCTGTTAGATTTGTAATCCTGGCTGTTCATCTACAGCGACTGCAGAGAAACACCTGCTTGTCCTTCAGTTGCTTTTCCTATATCTCACTGCCATCAAATTGGAGAAGCTGAAAAAATTGGGTTTATCATGCTTTCCTAAACCCATCAGGAAGCCAGCCTGAAAACCCCTCACAAGCATTCCTCGCCAGAATCCCCAGAGGTAATTTAATATGTCCTGTCATTTGAATGACCAGGAAATCTGTTAGAAACCACAGTCAATCCCTTCAAAGTGTCTTGTGTCATTAGTAAAAATGCTAGCAGGTGTCTCCATCACTTGTATTACTGGGATGTAGGTTGCTTTATAGTAATTAGACATTTGTCTTCACATTTTCTCCTCATTAATATGACTGAATTACCTGAAGTGACAGACAAATTCTAAATGTAATGAATAATTCACATAAGCATTTTTGCTTTGAAGAAGAAAATATACTGTGCCTTGCGAAAGTGTTCACCCCCTGACAATAATGTCCCATTATGTTGAATTACAAATGATGTATACGTATATATAAAGTGAATATTAATGCTTGAATACTCAATCTGAATACTTTTATGGATAAAAAGAAGATAAATGTCACCAAAAAGAGAGAAGTGAGAGAAGTTCACTAAGTGGATCCACCAATATCTACCTAGTTCCTGCTAGCAAATCAAACCATTCAGCTCAACCTACACAAATATGTTCATATATGAGGGCTAAATTACAGCATTAACTGCAAAAAATCAATGTTTATAGGACACCATGCCAGTGGATAAGTTTTGTCTATTTTTTTCTCATAATTTGCAAGTTTTCCCCACTTTCTGTGCTAAAACACATTCAAACACATTTCTAATTGCCTTACTGATGATTTTTACCATGCCATGGAAACCACTTTATTCTTTTGTGCATGCTCTTATTGTAATGTTTTTTTTTACTTTATAGTAATTACTGTACTTTTGCAGATGCTTTGTTTTAATTCACTTCGTTGAACTTGTTTTAAGCTGCGGCAGTTCTAACTGCAGTAATTTGAGCTGGAGCTTCAGCGAAGCCTGGGTCACCTGTTGTGACTCGGCTTGAATGTACAGTACATCTCACTGGTCTCGCCTCTGTAGGGGTAAGAGAGGAGAGAGAAAGTGGGAGAGTGAGAGGAAAGGCACTCAGTTGAAGTAGCTGGGTGACAATGACTCCTGGTGCTTCTCAGACACGTTGGCACAGAACGAGTTTTGAGTCACTGGCAGCTGGTGCCAGCAGGTTCTGGAAAGTTCCGGTTCGTCTCATGTCTCCACTGGCTCTTTTCCCCTCTTATCCCATTGGTCTGTCTGGCTGTAGGAGCAGCTTGGCTGTCTGTGTATGGCCAGCCACACAAGTGAAGGAAGGCCTGTTAGGGCCACATCCACAAGTCACAGTTTTGTAACAGGATTAATCATTTTATATTATTATTACATCACCAATTATAATAATTCAGCCCCTAATGAAGGGATCTAATTAGGCCACACTTCACATAGTGCAC